GTGTGTACAGTGCTACATATTCTTCCATAACCTGTAACCATCTTCAGGGGTTTTTTTTTCTGTGTGTAAATCGATTAAATTTTGCTACAAAAAGTTACCACCGATCACTGGTAGCTTGTGTCTTTGTTCCAAACTCCCTAAATACCCATTTTTTTTGCTACCTTTAAACTACAACTAGTTTATTTTTCTAACGATTTATCTAGTTGTCATTATGCTTATACGCTAACTTGGAGACAACTGAAAAGATTTATTTTTTTATCACAGAAAATCTTCCTGTATTTGCGATGGATAAATAATGGAGAAAAAAATAATTTAAGCTAGATATGAGCATTAATAACAATTTGGATACTTATGTCACTATGTCTTAGATTTTCAGTGTTCGTTTCTTCATCTAGGTCCTACCCTCACAGCAGATATACAATCACGTTTGCTTCTCGCAGTCTTTTCACTGCTCTAGTATTTCTAGTTATGCACTTTGATAAATTAATGAAATGTAGTGTGATGTATCGCATTCTCTAAATCAACCCTAAAAAGGCAAGAATGTGCCTATAAATTACTATATGCCACAATATTTGATGCTGAGAAAAAAAAAAACAAAGAAATTCTAGGCCTACCCACAAAATTTAATTCTCGCCCACGCCAAATAAAAGGTTGTTTCATTTAAACCTTTGGGCCTGGAACCACACTTCCCCATTCCTACACCCCCGCAATTTGGGCGGTTGCTACGCCGCTATGTGTGATCTGGAATAAAGATAAATAAACAAACAGCGTATAACCTATTTATAAAGTTTGGTAGACCAGTTTGGCAGCCATTGCGACATATGGGCAAAACTGACATTTTGAAAATAACTACTTGTCGTAGGTTTTTAAGATCACTAACTATTGTTTGTGTCCTATTTATTGGAAGCAATACAATATAGTAGTGAAATTCATAGTTCTTTGTTGTGGATTATGGCTTGAAAATAATGAAAATTGTGTTTATGTGTATCAAACGTTCAAACTTTCGAGATAATGGATACACTTTCATTTTGGTGAGTTTTCATGATTACATAGCACATAACTCACTTGTGTTTCATATTCTACCTCTAATATTTCTAGCTTTATTTATCTAATTAATGTATTTCTAGTCATTGATTTATGCATCTGTAATTAAGTCTTGAAAATGATGTGGGGTTGGGTGGATGGCAGAAAATGTATGTAAGATATAAGGGACCGACCATTTAATTTGTTTGCTATTTTCTCTTTGGGTGGGTGGGGGGATTTCGCAGATTTATTTCGAGCTGGGATATTTGTTTTTTGTTTACTCGAGGATAACTAATTATTTTAGCTAATATAAAGTATGTAATTAGTACTTTTTGTGAAAATCAAAAATATTTTCAAAAGCTATTTGGTACCCCACACCGTGACAAGTATATTAAATGAACGGTCCCGAGGCTAATATGTCAACGGTTTCTCTTACAAGTCAGTTATGATTGCGTCACTGTATATGCTGATTTGCAGGGTTACATTATTAAGAAAACCTATCATTTTCAAGCTATACAAAATCAGAGTTTTACTGAATTTCAAAATTTATATATTAAACTTCATTTCATTTTGAATAAAATAGGATGATTAACAGATGTACTTTTTTGAAAATCAAACAGTAAAAGAGCTCTCTCCGTGCTTTTAGTTAGCTATTCATAATTATGTGGCCTCGAAAAGAACGTGTATCGTTGATTGGTTGATTGGGCAATCTGTATAACTGTTTTAATTTAGAACAGGAATGGTTCGATGACGTACAAGTGCATGTGCAAATTATCCCTAACAAGATTATCTTGAGCATCAATGTTGCACGACTACGAAACTGTGTTCCGTACTATGAGTAAACTCCGATAAATATTCGGTAACAAAGCAATACTTTTGTTTACAAAATACCACAGCAATAACTTCTTTCACCGCTGAATAGAATTGCACAAGGTGTTTTTCTTTTCCAGAACGAATATTAGGACTTTTTACAACACCATCCTGTAGTCGTCTTTTTTCAACATAGAGCGCAAACATTATCAGTAAACACTAAAACCTGTAATCGATGAATTTAACTAAGTTAATTAGGGCACACTTTTTTGTTTGGCACAAAATCACTAATTTGTGCAACACCAGTGGCCCGCCATCTTCTTATCAGATCGCCCTTACATCATATTTTAAACCATCTACCCAGGCGTCCCATATTGCCACACCTGACCTTAAATTGTAATCCAGCGGCCAAACACAACAATGTGTCCTATATATTATGAATATTTGTGTTGCTTCATACAAAAACTTGGGTAAGTAATGATCAGCAAATTTTAAATGCAATTTAAACTGAGTATACTGTAATTTTACTTTTAGAACCAGGCCCATTGAAACTGATTAAGGAACTAAGAATATCGCCTTCTTTCAAATGCTTACCGTATGGACATAATAGCTATTAAGTCTCGTGCATTGCGACGTCATATTACGTTGGGATACATCCTAGGACCGATAGACGATAACAAAATGTCCCCGACATTCAAACTTTGAGATTATTAAAAACTAACAAATTTGTTAGTGATTAACCAATTTATCATGTAAATAATGACTTGGTGGTAATTTGGTTTTGAGTCGCTGAATCAGTTTGTTAGCTGATTAATATACATCAATCAACCACGAATGGTACAAGGTGGTCGAATGGTCTAAGCCTTTCTAAGGCGCTCGCCTTTACGGATCACTTATACATCTTACCTACGTCCAGTCCAAGTCTCCCTTTACCAATGTGGACATGTGAGAAGTCCTTGTATTACATCGCATACATATATTTTCTTCAAAAAACGTACGAAATGATATTGTTAACACAAAGTCCGTCTTATTTTGTCTCAGTTGATACAGCTAGAGTTAGTGAACAACACGAGTGTCTCAAACTTATGCAAGTACATGTACATGTCTATAGGATAATACTGATTTACTGACAACTGTAGTGCAGCATGAAGCGACAAATTTCAGTCATGTGACCCCTGAATTTTAACCAATCTGCTTATTACAATATGTAAACATGGGGAATATGACGGTTTACGTCATAAACTGTTACAGTGAAGTACAAGCAATAGAAATAACTTAGATACGCATTTGGCTCCGTCCAAGGCACGCTAAAAATATAATACGGTAAAATTAAAACGAATATCTCTCAGCAAATCAGGAGAAGGTGCAAAGAAAATTGTCAATTTATTAAATTAGTAGGACTTAACTTTCTTGACCTTTCAATGTCTATTGAAATGTTAAATGAGTCAAAGAGTTTGCTGAATAGTTTTTTTTTCGTCTAGGTGTCAAATCATTCAACATTCGGATATATATTTATAAGTAAATTATCAGAACCAAACCTTATTCGTGTTTAATTCATTTGTGGACATTCTGATATGTGCATTTGTAGCAGGTAATATGCTACATATAGGCCTATTGGCGTAGAGTTCAGTTTAATATTTGGACTACGTCTTTAAATTCTATTAAAATGCAGACAACCTTTGCAAGGTTCAGCTGTGTGTGTGTGTGTGTGTGTGTGTGTGTGTGTGTGTTTGTGCATTCTTCGAAAGGGAGAGGGGGAACTTTGTTAAATGAGTTGAGAGGACATTGTTAAATGAGTTGAGAGGACATAGTCTGATGATCGACAAGTCAGTTAATGCAAGTTAAATGAAATAATTTGCTTTGTCGATGTTCTTGAGTGGACAGCGCTAAGAAGAGAGGATACATTGTACATATTCGTTTTAGCTATATGTCTTCACGAGAGGTTAATAACAGACAGGCAACGTGGTTCCACGGCATTTTGATTCCGTAAATATATATATATATATATATATATATATATATATATATATATATATATATATATATATATATATATATATTATCTATAAGACTGAAGAAAAGCTTGATGGAAAAGAAAATAAAAGTTGCATGTGATAGATGTTCTTGCAAGTTTCATGAATAGAAATGTCTTCGCTTCTAACAGGAATTGTGCTATGTTGATAAGCGTGACATTAAAAATCGTATGGAGTAATGTTTTCTTGATAACAAACACCAAATACTTAAAAGAGAAAGTAATGTGTCGTTTTTTTTTTTTTTTGTTTGCTTTTTTGTACATGTTGGTATTGCGAAATCACATAGACCAACCGTTAAACTGATTAAATAAATGTACTTACTTCTAAGGTGTTTCGTTGTCAAATCTATAGATTCAAACTTTTTCTGAGGTTATCTCGATGGTCAGTGTGACATGTCAGTAATGCCAACCCTTCGATACATCCCAGCTGGCACCATTCCAGTCAGCGACCATGCCACACGGGTTACTAAATGAATTACGATAGTTTGTTTACGTCGGGCAGTGTGTAAAACACAATTATACGCATGCGCCGTTGTTTGGCCTTAGAGGCTCAGCTAGCGGGGCTCCGTTTGGGTTAAATATTGTCATGGTGTGCTTACAATGCAAAATCACCATTTCTATTGTATCAAACACAGCCCTGAAAGAAAAAGAAAAGATAGAAAAACAAAACAACCGATTCGTGATCTATACAGAATTTTCCCTTAAGGATATTCCAATGAACAACATGAACTTATTAAATTAACACGATCAAATTATTGCATCATCCTGACATATAAAGTGTAATAAGGTCGGGAATATCTGCCACGTGAAAGTCGTCAATGGCACTATAGGTGACCCAATAACCTAGAGGAAAACTGTGTGTGTGTGTGTGTGTGTGTGTGTGTGTGTGTGTGTGTGTGTGTGATTTAGATTTTTAACGTAGCTTTAACAATTTTTCAGTCTTATCGCTACGATATCTGCAGTGTGACAGTTTATAGCGATGTCTAGCACTGAGGCATCATGCTGCAGACATGTGGCATGATATCCCACCCAGTCACATTATCCTGACACCAGTCCGACCAGTCCTAATACTAACCTCTTAATGATAAGAGCCAAGCGAGGCAGATGTAGGTACCATTTTATAAAATCTTTGGTATGACTCGGACGGGGTTAGAACCCGTGACCTCTCGCATCCGAGGCGGACGTTCTAGCCACTAAGACACCGGAGCGGTTCTTCTGTGCTATTAACTGATACATTGTTTCACTTGGCTTCCTTCTGTCGTATATTGTACAACAGGAATTTTTTTTGCACAACTATTAATATACATTTGAAAATTGATTCAATAAAGGATAGAAGGAGGATTGATTGATTGGTTGGTTGGTTGATTGATTGATTCTTTACTTTAAACTGTAGTTTTCATACACATTGTGTTGTAACTGAAGTGAATTTACTATATTTGAGAGAAAGAGAGTTTTAAATGACATTTGTTTACTGTACGTTCATGAAATATTTCCACAGCATCCACGAATCACTCATAAATCTCGCTTCTGTCCCAGTGAGTCTAGGTCTGTGTTCGACCAAGTTAGATATGTTAGAAAATTTGCCAGTAGCTTTCCATGGCTCAGCAGCTCTTCACGGGTTCTTTCTCTGCCGAAATATATTAGCCGCCATGTATAGCCTATAATGTGCTGAACAATGTCGTTAATCACCACAAAAAATGACATCGTCACTATATCTTGAATGAATCAGTTACCAGCGGGATCTGCTCGTATTAATGGAATAATATGGCATCTGGCTGATTAAGCCTGTTACCGAATTTGAAGATGTGTTTCTGTTTGTTAAATTTATATTTTAATGAAATAAAAGAAAAATCTGCGCACATTTATTAAAAAAACCCCCAGTAGATCCAAGTTCCCAATCAACTCGGAGTGAGGAGGGAGTGGTGGCTGTTGACGAATCGTATTACTCTTAGTCTGAGTAATACAGATTTGCCCTTTCTTTTATCCAATTCCTCTATACATCTTCGCAAACACACCTTCACCTTCATATTCGTTTTGAAAGATCGGTTGTATGACGTGTCACTATATCACCTAAGCATATCAGCCTTGTCCTTGTCGAATGATTTGTAAGTGATTGTATGAAATGCTGCTATATCAAATACGGTTATCAACCTTCTCTGCATCAAATTATTCGCAAATCATGAAATGCCAGCAAAAACACCTCTAGATAGCACCTTCTCGTAGTCGAATGATTTGCAATGGATAGTTTGTACATTGTACTTTCATATAATAAATGTGTGGTCGGTTTACATAAATGACGTGAATCTGTAGAAAGATTACTTTTTGCAACTTATATGAATATTTGAGAATAAAATGTTATCTTATTTATATATGCCAGGAGGTGGTGAATATGTGTAATCTCTCAACACCCACCACACCCCATCCCCCTCCCCCCACACTCCTTATGGTTTTTATTATCGTTATTTATGAGGCATTTAACCACGGTGTTATTGCCCAAATCGAACAAACAATAAAATAAAAAAATGAAATTAAGGAATGGAATAACAGAGATCCGAGTAGAGATATAAAATAGAATGATAGGATCCCGCGTATGTAAAATACGACAATTTATTCCATTACATAAATTAAATAAAATCGAACATGACATGTGAATGGTTTACTTTCTCTCCAAAACAGAGTTTGAAAATTAAGCGAAATTCAATTAGACTTTCCTTTTTAATGATATAACAAATTCGATCATATGATAGATTGACAGATCGAACTCAAATTGCAGGCATGATAGTATTCACCTTTTCCAAATTACTGGTGATCGGTTGGCCTCTCTCTCTCTCTCTCTCTCTCTCTCTCTCTCTCTCTCTCTCTCTCTCTCTCTCTCTCTCTCTCTCTCTCTCTCTCTCTCTCTCTCTCTCTCTCTCTCTCTCTCCTAACCTCTTCTGGTCGTCAACCACTTGGTTGCAGACTGCACTTTCCACTGCGGTATAGTATGAAGCTATTTCCTCACTAGCTCGCTTATCATCATATAGATCCTTGTCTTTATTTTCGATACAGGTCTCACAAATTTCTGGACCATCTTGTCTCTTGGACTATTTATTTAAAGAGACGCGTATTTTTGAACTATAATTAAAACTTTATTCATGCCTCCATGCAGGAGAGGTAAATTATTACAAGCGGCCAAGTTATAGCGGACCTGGCCAATACATAACGTTGTCAATCTTAATGATTTAGCGTCACGCTGACCATGAAATAAAGCACTGAGAAATCATCTCTAAAATTATTATACACAATTTTGCACCATTACAACAATATCACATAAATTAACATTTCCAGAAATACCCCTTTCTAGACCTTTGTAAAATTATAGCAACTATTGAAGAAACATTGCTTATATTTAATTTGCATCTAATTATTTTTATTATCAGACACATAGAGTATCAGTGGAAATAATCCACTCTGACCAAGTGGTTTAATGTGCATATTAGTGAGAGAACTCTGCTTTTGAATAAATGGAGTCTACCCAAGCAGCTGTGCATATTTTATTTCCTCAGAAGCATTTTTCAATAAGATACCTGAGACAGTCACCATCATTTTCCTTGCTATTGGATACCTCGCTATGATGTTATGTCACGTTTTAAAGTGGAATATTGCTTTGTTGAACAGTTCTGGAAATTAATTACAATTGCACGTTCATATTCCAATATTTTTACTTTGAACCAGGGGAGGCAGGAACAAGCCCTCGGTCAGGCACCGCACTAGACCCTCAAGGTGGTACAGATTCATAATGACAATGATTCAATTTGGATTGAAACTGGCGATAAATTTAAACAATTATTTAAATTTGCCAATAATTTAAATTCAACAATTAAATTCACGTTAGTGTCATCAAGCAAGTAAAATGTTTTCTCGGATACCAAATTCATACTCCAGGAAGGGGGGATGAAAACTGACTTATAATACAAAAACCACATATTTGCTACTGAACAATTACCCCGTAAGCAATCATAAATAACCTGTTTGTATTAAAAGCATCTGCTCAGACACAAAGACTTTTTAAATAGAGTCAAGGGGCACGTTAAAAAGATAGGATATACGTAGAAAGATATCGACAGCACCATCCTAATAACAAGGTACAAAACAATATCAGGCAATAAACATACCTCCCCAATGCCCCAGATATACGACCTCTAAATAAAGTTCAAGAGATGCCTATATTTCTATAACATAGATATCAAACACCTACAAAGATCACTTAATACGAACCCAAATTAATCCAGGCAGCACCTCCGAAATAGATAAATATAATTTTATATGCAAGGGCTGATTCATCTGCAAACACATGCCTGAGATTAGACTTCAAGGGGTTAAACAAACAGGGTAACCTTAAAAAGCAACCAGAACTCGGATGCTGTTGTAGAAATATAAACAACATCCCGAAATGCAGGAAAAGTGCAGTTCAAAATGCTGTCGAATCTGCCGGCATAACAAAAATGATAAACAACCAAAAAGCTACACTGACAATACAAATTTTGCAAAAACCACCACTACATTTCAACGAAATATTATGTGCAATCTATTATGATGAGAAAAGTCTCTGTTGATGTTTAGATGTTTTCCATCATAACCTGCGTCTCATTTCTGGCTATGAGAAGGGATTTATCGCTACTTTAAGAGAAGCTTTGACTCTTGATCAGAGAGAGAGAGAGAGAGAGAGAGAGAGAGAGAGAGAGAGAGAGAGAGAGAGAGAGAGAGAGAGAGAAGAAGAAGAAGAAGAAGAAGAAGAAGAAGAAGAAGAAGAAGTTCGCCTCTCTTAAAGATAAGGTGTCTCATATAATGGTGTAGATATGGTTACATCTTTTTGTGAGGAGAGCTTTGGCTACGAGAAGGTACCAAGAATATGTAAGAAATAGACACGACACTCTTCTGAGCGTGAAATCGCACTTTATTGATATATATATATATATATATATATATATATATATATATATATATATATATATATATATATATATATATATATATATATATATATATATATATATATATATATATATATATAACTAAAGATACAACATGTAAATTTATTTATGTTGAAACTACATACATTACATATTACAATACTTATTAAATAGTTCTTCCACAATCTACTATTTCATTTGTCCATTCATTTTTCTGCATTTTTGAATACAAGTGATTTAAATATTCAAAGAGCCTAAAATTCAATAACTGTAATAAATGTATTTTATTCTATTTAATGTAAGGTAACGACCTGAAAAAGATCTGTAAGTGTTATGCCTATTATTTAAAGAATATATATTTATTCTCAATTAGATTATAACATGAAGCTAGTAATTATTTAAAACAAATACTAATGAACATGGAAGCTATAAAATATTTCATTACATTATGATTGTGGAAGAAGGAAACTCAATAATATTACATTATAAATACAATGAACATCAATTCTGTAAAATATCAAATCGGTAAAATATTTCATATTAGAAAAGAGAACTCACTATTACATTATATTGATAAAATAAATATAATTCAGAAGGATATTACAACTTACTATAAAATCTTTAACTTTTAAGAGCGAGTATAAAGCATAATTTTCTTACCTGTAAGAAATAGACACGACACTCTTCTGAGCTTGAAATTGCACTGAGACCAATGCAGCTCAGAGCCTTTTTTATATCTTGGAAGCTGCTGATCATCAGTATTTTCATTCAAGGTCAGAGAGGTCTGTCTAATGAACTATGCCTATGTTCTAAAAATGTCACGCATGTTCTTGCGTGATAGTCAAGGACAGCTTTAAACTTATATCAAGTTTTAGAGAGAAAGTGTGTGTGCGTGGTCAGTAATTTTCCTAAGTGAACGACCTTTTGAATCATACATTGTCTATAACCTTCCTAATTGTAAGTGGTCATTCACGTTCGGAACTTTTAAACTCAACTAATTTCCTAGACTGATCATCAATTACTTTGTTCCCAGCATCACAACACAATTAATAAGTTTTATTGATTGAATTGTGCGACAGTAACGTTATTCGAGGCTTCTATCTGTTGTTGAACTATCGAACTCGGCTATTAATTAGGCTTTTTCCATTACCAAGTGGTGCTGATAAAACAAGGATAATGTTGAATCTGAATTCATTTCAACATTCCATTATATTCAGGTTATGAATTATTGATTGGGCCATGCTTCTTTCACAATC